TACAAGAAAATAACTAAGACAATGTTATCTTGAAAATAATAAATGCATAACTCATCATCAAGACTATGGGAACTAAGAGTACTTGTACATTATAACTCGAGACACTTTCAAGAAATTTGCGAAACTTAATTCCGTCCTAACACTTCGCAATTCGCAAATTATGCAACATTTTGACTCGTTGTCAGACTCAGATACTTCTCCGCGTTGAGGCGAAGTGACTCCAATAGGGTTGTCATCGTCTGAATAAATAATTTAATTACTTAGCCAGGCAACGAAGGTTAGATTTTGGCAATTTAAGTATTTTGTAAAAAAAACAGGTTACATAATTATGTCCCACATATTCATCATCATCATCATCATTTCAGCCAAAGGACGTCAACTGCTGAACAAAGGCCTCCCCCAATGATTCTTACAGTGCCCGTTTGATAGCGGCCTGCATCTAGCTTGGTTGGACGTCTCATGCTGTCCGGATTATTAGGGTAAATTAGTTTTTATTGGAGTAATGAGAAAATTCTTCGGGCCTTTTCAGACCCAAACATTAAAATTTCAGAATCTTCCATTCATTCACCAACAAACTATTATCAAAAACTTCCAATTTTGCCTTAACCCAGATGAGAGAGCCCTGAGATGTAGCGCGTAGTTATTAACCCGTCAACGCGGGCCTCTTCATCCTAATGCACCTGACAACTAACGTGCAACACTGCAATGTTCTTGAGAGAATAGTTGGACTCCTGGAAAGCTGTTTAAAGTTGTAACATCTTTCTTACAGTCGGTATATTGTTCAGTATAACATCTTTAAATGTGTACTGTAATGTTTTACTGAGAAACGAGTATGTGTAAGTTAAATATGAAAGCAACATTAACTTCGCTAAAAATTAACCAGCGCTTGTTAAGGCATACTAGCTGACACGTAGTCGTAATATCAAATTCAAAAGTTTGTGTCATTTGTATTTTCATTGGGTGAAATGCACGCCAAAATTTTCCACGTTGTTGTTAAAAAAACTTTTTAAGAACTTGAAAAAATCGACTGCCTCAGATGGAAATTCAACCCACGAACTTTCAAGCAGCCTGTAAAGGCTAAATTAAATATTCATCCCTCAAAACCCAAACGTTGACAGCCCTGCTCAGATGTAGCGCGTAGTTATTAACCAATAACCCATGCCTCTTCTTCATCCCTAATGCACCTGGCAACTAATGTGCAAGACTGCAATGTTCTTGTTGACTGCATCTTTAACGTTGCGAATAAGACCGTGTAAAAAGTGTAAGTTCTTCACATTTTCTCAGGGCAAAGAAAATATAAATCTAAAAGACTTGTCAAATTAGGTACTTATAGTGCCCAAATGTCTTTAATATTTTGCCTCACATCTAGAAAGTGAACTTCGCTTCAGCAATGCTCATCAGCTTTGTCAATACTATGCGAGTTCCTTGAAAAGGAGGAGATTTTCAATTCGACTGTATTTTCTTTGTGAAAGCAATAGCATGTACTTATTGAGGTGACTTGATTTGAAAAAATCGCTATCATAATAATTTCTTTGCGAGCACTTTCAACTTTTTTTACACTAACAACAAGATTACTTTAACTATACGACTATTTAAAGTCGCTAAAAAACCCTTATTGCATTAAGGTCTCCGCAATACAAAGAAAGAATGGAAAAAACTTTATTCCACTTAGTTATGAGTCCGCTGGAGTCGCAGAGCTAATGGGCTAATGCACTTCTTGGCGGCAATTAGCGCTAATCCGCGTGCCTTTGAGCTTCAATGACTTGCTCATTGTTGCAGTCCAAACGATAGCACACCATACTGTATTTTTTTGCAAAATCACCCTTACTACCCTCAGTACGCAGAACTGACGGCCGATGGGGCAGAAAGGTACTGGAATGGAGGCCGCGTACCGGAAAACGCAGCGTGGGACGTCCACCTACAAGGTGGACCGACGACATCGTAAAGGTAGCAGGGAAGCGCTGGACGCAGGCCGCTACCAATCGATCAACATGGAAAGCATTGGGGGAGGCCTATGTTCAGCAGTGGACGTCCTGTGGCTGAAATGATGATGATGATGATGATGACCCTTACTACAACTGAATAATACCGCTGTGCTTAGCTTGACGTGCTGTCATCTGTACATTTTAGTTAGGTTGTACATTATTGTTACTCAATTTGGTATTTTAAATTAGTTCTAAGCCCGTCACCGCAGGACTATCATGGTTAACTCACTCATAATACAAGCTTATTTAGCTTAGCTCGAGAGGTTAAACTTTTTTTATGCAAGACAGGCCAGGTATAATCTCAAAATTGAAGGTCAATAAAGGTCGTCGGTTCAATTCCCACCAAAAACACTCGACTTTTACTCAAGTTTAACGCCCGTATTCAGCAAGCTTGCATAAGTGAAGCAGTAAATCGAACGCACAGCGTTGAATAGAGCTCTGTGATTGGTTCGTGTGTCACCCTGTGCGTCCACGCGCACTGTGAGACCTCATAGTAATTGTTTAATACCTCCATGCTCAGCATACTGGCTGATTCGATATTTTTTTATAAAAAAAAGAAAAAAAGGAAAAAAAGCTGTCAATTGTTTTTACTGTNTAACAGCAGTACGAATTCAAACGTTGCTCTTCTTCCCAATGTGCAACGGAACGTTGCCACACTTCTCATATTATATATCCGTACTCGATTGACCAAGAAATTAGCTTCTGTAGTAGTAATAGGGCTATTCGGTAATAATCTTGAATTTGGTAAAGTTGATGATAGGATTTTAGTACCTAATTTATGTGACAATATTTCTGCTGGATGTTTAAGGGTAGTACCTACCCAACATTGATTAAATAAAACGCGGCCGTAACAGCGTATTTATTACACTTGAAAATTTCGACGGGTTCATCCAGTGTCTTAAGTCGCTCAATGAATATGTAAATTAATGAATTTTTATTTTTATTTCTAGTTCATATCTCCGAAGATGGAATGAGTTTTGAAATAAATATTTTCCATAGATTATTTTTAATCTTCATCATGTCGCTCCGTGAGTCTGTAATTGAAATAAAAAAAGTGGAAAAAAAATGTTGCTTGCTTTACCTAGCATGGCTGGAATGAAACGTTGCCGCACTTCTCACATAGCTACGAAAACAAACGTTGCCATTCTTTGCAGTGCGTAACGAGACGTTGCCATTCTTCATAGTGCGTAACGAGACGTTGCCATACTTATCCGTATTCGTATATTTATCTACCAAGTAATTTTCTTTCCTCTGTTATAAACAAAACAGAATAGTGATGATTTTTAGCATTATTATTATAATTGATTTCGCTTATGCATATAGTTAACAATGCGAGTTTTTCCCAACATGAAACGTAAGACAGGAATGGTTATTATACTGAGTGAAAGTGAGAAATTTGTGGCTGTAATTTATATATTATTATAATTATAATGACTACATTAAATTAACTAATCATTTGAACGTAAAAAATGTGTTTCACGCCTGACTTGTGGCTGTGTGACGGCGCGCGCGCATTCCTGCACCGCTGACGTCACCCGCCCGGCGCAGGGGGCGGGGCTAGCGTGTAGATAACATTGTGTGCGCGGAGCGGGGTGCTATGTATCGTTATCTCTATTGCAAGTATTGATGATATAATTACAGAAACTAGATAAGTAATCCTTTCGGCTGACATTTTTATTTAATTTTGAAGAATATCAGTCTTGCGTTTGTTTTATTCAACATTACAAGTTTCCATATCAGGCAGGCCATAGGATTCAAATACAGTTTGTTTAATTACACAGGCTTAGTAAGTCACATGTAAACTGATCAATATTGCTGCTAAGTTAAAACTCTTCGTAGCGTCGTAGTAGCGCATCAGATGCTACGAATATTTTCGTAGCAGCGTATTTCTTTTTCTTACTTTATTGCACACACAAAAAAGCATTACAAATTGAAATATGCTTCGTTAATTATAAAGTAAATATCAAAGTAATGTTAAATATAGTTGGTTATGGGTAATTGGTTTTGAGAGGTAATGTATTTATTGGTATCATACGTTGCCATTCTTCGCAGTGCGCAACGAGACGTTGCCATTCTTCATAGTGCGTAACGAGACGTTGCCATACTTTTTACCGTTTTCGTATATGTATCTACCTAGTAATTTTCTTTCCTCCGTTATAAACAAAACAGAATAGTGATAATTTTTAGCATTATTATTATAATTGATGTCGCTTATGCATATAGGTACTTTTTGTATGTATATGCCAAAGCATTAGTAAAATGGCAGCCTTCTGGGCGATACTTGTGACTTCTTTTTTGAAATCCTTATCAGCTTAGGCTGGGTTGCACCACGTAACTTTAACCGTAACGATGACGATAATCGGTGTTTTTGTATGAAGTTTGAAAGGCTTTTGACGTTTGTCAAAGTTAAAGTATGGATGGTGCAACCCAGCCTTACTGTTTTGAAAGTTAATGAGACACAGTTCTCAGGTGTGTTTCAAAAAGTAGCGAAGTGCTAAAAAATCTGTCGGCACTACAAAAGAATAGTTTTCAAATGTTCGCTCTGAAGTAATAAAAGGCATCGTCGAAAACAACGTCATCATAAAATGTCAGGTCAAAGAAGTTCGCCTTTCTTATCTTTTTTGGGACAATCCTAACCAACACACCCGTTACACTTAAGTGCCAATATTGTTGATTTTTCACAATGATACTTTGCCATTCATTTGTTGTGAAGATCGATTATCGTTTAACAGCCTTTTTAAAATATTTTTTGCAACGGTCAAACATTGATATTTATACTTACTGTTTTCTATACGTCTGCACTTTTTTTTTTATTAAGTTTCTGAAAAGTATGATTAGTGTTCCGATATTGGTGTAGTCAGTACAGAAGGGTTTATTGAATTTAAAAAATCCTGTGGGCAATGGACTCCGGCTTCGATATTTGATTGTGTTAATCGATTTTTATTGGTATATTTGCTGGCCAGGTACTTTTTAAATAATCAAGGTTTTTATTTCGTTGACAGGTCATTCCTAGTTGACACTATTGTATTAAAAAACAACTAATGCTTTTTATGCAAATTCTTGATTTCATGATAATATACTCTATATAATTTTCAATCGAAGTCCATAAGGGCGACGATTTCAAGCATGATTTAATGATAATAGGGGTGTCCACTTAAAAAATACATCGATGTTTTTTTTCGATGCAATACATCGCGGCTGTGCATCGATATTTTTCGATACATCGGTTAGAAACATCGATGTTTTCTCAAAATCGAGTACTTTTTTTAACATTGCATCGCAAGCTGTAGTCGGCCTTCTGAACACATTTTTCATTATAGATTACTCCTACAACAGCACTTTTCTTTTTGCCTTTTGTATGTGTGTTTAAGGAATCTATGTTACTAAAATAAAAAAGAAATACTTTTCATGCAGTAGTCATTTATTAAAAAAAAATGGCAATGTGTAACAATAAGACTTATAAAATGTTCTTTTGGAAGACTTTGCAAAAACAAAAGCTTATTTAAACGTTTTCCTTTCAGTCTGTTTCATTGCTGAGTGACGATTTGAGCTGCTTTAGAAAATAAACGCTCAGACGGTACTGACGTTCCCACCATGGTCAAGTATTTGTAAGCAATTTTATTAAGTTTAGGAAGTTGAATCTTCAGATCGTTCCATATTTCCAATGGGTTCTCATTAAGTCTTCCTACTGGACTACGCAAGTAAATAGACAGCTCTTCAGAAATAGTATCATATAGTTCATAAGTGCCACTTGTGGTCTAAACTGAATAAATACTTTTGATTTTGATTTTGATTTTAGTATCGTCAGACTTCGCCGTTTTCCAGCTCTTGTGTACCAATTTGTGGTGATCATCCTATAAAGAAAAGTTATCTTCNTCAATACTATGCGAGTTCCTTGAAAAGGAGGAGATTTTCAATTCGACTGTATTTTCTTTGTGAAAGCAATGGCATGTACTTATTGAGGTGACTTGATTTGAAAAAATCGCTATCATAATAATTTCTTTGCGAGCACTTTCAACTTTTTTTACACTAACAACAAGATTACGTTAACTAGACGACTATTAAACTCGCTAAAAAACCCTTATTGCATTAAGGTCCCCGCAATACAAAGAAAGAATGGAAAAAACTTTATTCCACTTAGTTATGAGTCCGCTGGAGTCGCAGAGCTAATGAGCTAATGCACTTCTTGGCGGCAATTAGCGCTAATCCGCGTGCCTTTGAGCTTCAATGACTTGCTCATTGTTGCAGTCCAAACGATAGCACACCATACTGTATTTTTTTACAAAATCACCCTTACTACCCTCAGTACGCAGAACTGACGGCCGATGGGGCAGAAAGGTTCTGGAATGGAGGCCGCGTACCGGAAAACGCAGCGTGGGACGTCCACCTACAAGGTGGACCGACGACATCGTAAAGGTAGCAAGGAAGCGCTGGACGCAGGCCGCTACCAATCGATCAACATGGAAAGCATTAGGGGAGGCCTATGTTCAGCAGTGGACGTCCTGTGGCTGAAATGATGATGATGATGATGATGACCCTTACTACAACTGAATAATACCGCTGTGCTTAGTTTGACGTGCTGTCGTTCATTTTAGTTGGGTTATACATTATTGTTACTCAATTTGGTATTTTTAAATTAGTTCTAAGCCCGTCACCGCAGGACTATCATGGATAGCTCACTCATAACACAAGCTTGTTTAGCTTAGCTCGAGAGGTTAAACTTTTTTTATGCAAGACAAGGCAGGCATATAGGTCGTCGGTTCAATTCCCACCTAAAACATTCGACTTTTACTCAAGTTTAACGCCCGTATTCAGCAAGCTTGCATAAGTGAAGCAGTAAATCGAACGCACAGCGTTGAATAGAGCTCTGTGATTGGTTCGTGTGTCACCCTGTGCGTCCACGCGCACTGTGAGACCTCATAGTAATGTTTGTGATTGTGAATACGGGCGTTAATTAGTTTGAGATAAAGGTCGGTATTAAAGAGAATTAAGCAGGGGCAGGTAACGTGTATGACCAGTCATTACTAAACTCAGAAAAACTTAACCTAAATCTCTCAAACTAAAAAACATATCCCTCCTCTGGCACAGTCGGGTAATCAGTCACACTTCATAAAACCTAAGTCACAGCACACGCGAAGTCGTAATTACAATCAAAGGGTTCACATTTAAAACCTTTGTAGCTTTTTAAAGCGGGCGTTTGAGACCAAGTCTTTGAGGGTTAACTGTAGTTTCTGCGAGTGTTAACTGCACACTCCTGACCCGGTTTCCAAGTGGGTCGCTTACTAGCCTCTATATGGAAATGAGTCATTAACGTTTTAAGGTTCAACTTACGGAATAACGAAGGCAAGGCTAAGACGTTGAATACAGCTTNGCACACTCCTGACCCGGTTTCCAAGTGGGTCGCTTACTAGCCTCTGTATGGAAATGAGCCATTAACGTTTTAGGGTTAACTTACGGAATAACGAAGGCAAGGCTAAGACGTTGAATACCGCTCAAATGGTTTAATTGTTGATGCATTTTATTGACATTTTAATAGCACAAAGTCAGTGATTAGTCGTCAGGTTAATGACCATTTATGGGTCGTATTTAACTANTACAGCTTAAATGGTTTAATTGTTGATGCATTTTATTGACATTTTAATCGCACAGTCAGTGATTAGTCGTCAGTTTAATGACCATTTATGGTAAGACTACTACGGATCGTATTTAACTACCGATTTCCAATCGTTATGTTGTTTACATAATACGCATAATAGATCTGACGGTCAATTATATTTTGTGGTCGATGGGAAAGCGAGGTTCTGGAGTGGAGGCCGCGTACCGGAAAACGCAGCGTGGGACGTCCACAAGGTGGACCGAAGACATCGTAAATGTAGCAGGAAGGCGCTGGACGCAGGTTACTACAAACCGGTCAACATGGAAATCATTGGGGGAGGCCTATGTTCAGTAGTGGACGTCCTGTGGCTGAAATTATGATGATTGTTCAGTAAACAACACATTTAATTTTGTCTGACTTTACTACTAGATTCGAACTTTAGAGCAATTTTAACTTGCAATAGAGACAACCTTCAACGATTTATTTTTATGGGAAAGCAAAACAAAAGCTGCAAAAATACTGTAATACATGTTAGTGAATACGTTACGTACGTCGGATCACAAAATACATTCGCAAGTAAAAAGTACCGTGAGATTTCCCACAATTTCCCCTAAACACAATAAATATCCCTGTGACGTCATCGTACATTAAACGCGTGGGAAGCGAACGGAAACGAATCCTGAGATCGCTGTAGCAATAAGGATAATGTTGATTATGGAAAATGATGACAAGATGAGTAGAAAAATATGTCACAGATTTTTGCAGTTATTTCAATGACGATAAAATTATCTAGTTATAAATAATCCATATTTTGTAAGTATGTGTCATCGCTCATATTGAAATTTGTAACGACCTAGTTAAACTTGATGATAAATGATTACTGCACCCGAAATTTAAATATTTTTAGGGTGCATCTTGTGCTGGAAGCCCGAAGACAATGAATAATTTTATTAATATTTAAAAATTACACAATGTGCCGACAGCATAAATGAGACTATTATAGATTTTGTTGCAAACTCACCCCTATTACAATGGAATAAAATGCCACTGTGTTGAGCTTGATATGCTGTCGTCTGCATTATTCCTAGACATGCACTTTTGATTTAAATTGTAACCCACAACTTTACAGCAGCTCCCATAACTTTTCGTGTTATAAAAACTTCTTTAGAGATTGATATTAAAAAACTTTACAACAAAACATATAATACTGAGAGCTGAGGGTACACGTAAAAAACTAGAACCACTGTATATAAAAAATATGCAGTGATCTTTCACTTAAAAACCGTCCATAGAACTTTACTAAGTAGGTAGTTGTGAAAAATACATTTTAATTAATGCTTATATACGATACATACCAACAATCAATCCACTTTCACAAGCTAAGTTTCTGGCTTAAAATACATCGATGTTTTTTTTCGATGCAATACATCGCGGCTGTGCATCGATATTTTTCGATACATCGGTTAGAAACATCGATGTTTTCTCAAAATCGAGTACTTTTTCTAACACATGTGCAGAAATAGTATCGTCAGACTTCGCCGTTTTCCAGCTCTTGTGTACCAATTTGTGGTGATCATCCCATAAAGAAAAGTTATCTTCTGGTTTGTCAGAATGATCTGAAGAATCAGATTCCACCGCGGCCTCATTTTGTATTTTAGTTTTCACAAATTCTTTGACTTTTGCCACAGCTGAAGAGCAAGCAAGTTGGTTTGTAAAATGCATTTTTTTAAACCTCGGATCTAATATCGTGGCTATGGCGAGAAGAGTCACTCTCTCTATAACACCCAATCTCTTGTCAATTTCTTTAAGGACCAATGACTGTAATTCTTTTGCAAGAGATTCTTCGAGTCTGAGTGTTTTAACTTTCAAAAGGAGGCAATGGATAAGTGGTATTACCTTGCTACTAGTGCAATACTTATCCCCTGATACTTCCTTAGTTGCAGCTTCGATCGGTCGCAGAACTTGTAAAACCGAAGAAAGAATTGATAGTTCTGACGCAGTAAGCATCGGTGGTGCATTTTTATGCCGAATGATTATGTTATTAACGATAGTGCGAAGCTCCAAAAATCTTTCAATCATATAATATGTACTATTCCATCTGGTTGGAACCTCTTGTATCAATTTAGTTTCTTTCTGGGTTGCATTACGTAATTCGTTACTGGCTATATTGCTCTGTTTGAACCATGTCACAATATCTTTGACTTTAGTTATCAAGTTTCTCAGCTCAGTACACTGTTGCATAGAATTTTGTGCCACCAAATTCAGAGTGTGTGCAAAACATGGTATGTGTTTTTTTCCAAAAGCCAAATCGATGGCCTTTACCATGTTGGCTGCGTTGTCAGTCACTACAGCCGAAACTTTATCTTTGTCAATACCCCATTCGGTACAAGTTTGAAGCAACATTTCAGCGATGTGTTCTGAAGTATGACGTTCATTTGACTGGTACACTCCAAGAGTTATTGAAAATAGTTCATTACCAACACCGAAGTGTGCTGTTATTCCTAAAAAACTTCTCATGCTCATTGTTTCAGACCACATGTCAGTAGTAAGAGTAAAGTTTTCAATATTTGATAATTTTTCTTTGAAGACTGTTGATAATGCTGCGTATTTATCATCAACCCATCGAGTCAACGTCGTCTTATTGGGAAGTTTATAATGTGGCGCAACAACTTTAATCAAATTGCGAAATCCTTCATTTTCAACTATTGTAAATGGTTGATTGTCCTTGCATACCATATAAATTAAGGCATTATTTATTTTTAAAGTTTTATCACCACCCGCCGAAAAACCGTGAATTTCTTGAAAACTTGATATAATAGACTTTTGACGTTTAGGCGCCGGAGGAACAGGAACTTCGTCGTCTTTTGAACAGTCAGATATTTTATCAATGTCTTTAGTCAATTCTATTACACCAGCTGAGCTCGTTGACGGTAGTATGTCAGCATCTTTAGGGACTGGTTGTGTTTTTTTTTGTATAGTTTTGTTATCAATATTGGATTTTTTCGAACATCCAATATTGAACTCCCGAAAAGCAGCCTTATGTATATTTTTTATATGACCAATTAAGTTAGTTGTATTGCCACAAGATTTGATAACTTTTTGACAAAGTCTACATTTTGCAGAGTTATTATCTCCTTCAGGTTTATCATAAAATTGCCACACACTACTTTTCTTGGAAGGTGCCATCGTTATGTGTCATCAACTTAACCTAAAAAAAAATACGGTAAATTAGCAGAAGTCATAAATTTATCAATCGATAATATCACTAATCCTCCCTATATAAAAAAGTTAAAAATTGTGAGTGACAATAGTAGCAAGACTGACGAGTAACATAACAGAATGACACAAAATAATTAGATGTTGAAAAGATGTTGAATGATATTCAGATCAATTCAGATGTTATTAAGTATTGAATCAGAATGTATTAATTTTAGCGTAATGATTCGACAAATTGTTAACTTATTTAATTTGGACAATTTGAAGAATGATCTCGCTGAAATACACAAATATACAAATAACAAAATATCAATTATTCCAATAGATTTATGGATGCTTTGCATAAGTTAGAATAAGTGAGTTATCCTAACCTAACTTTATTTACCTGTCCAACGAACTTATGAGAAAACGATGAAAATTTACTCTAATAAGTATATTATATCCAAATCCAATTCTATTTTATGTTGTTAAATATGCACATCTATGACACAAGTAAAAACGTTAACGTTTTTGTCTCACAATAAATCTGACGCAGAACCAAAAACAAACGAAGTTTTTTTTTAATTCTCTCTGGCGCAGTATTGGCATGGCAATTTCCAAATTAGCCAACTAGTGCCAGTAAAAGAAAAAAAGATTCGTTTTAATTTGATTAAATCAGAGCTACTGAACAGTAATAGATGTACTTGTACAATGATCAGCTGGTTACCATTATTGACTCCATTAAGTCGATGTTTTATGAGAAAACATCGATACATCGAGTATTTCAATAGCTTTTCAAAACATCGGATCCATTCGATGTATCGCATTGTAAACATCGATGTTTTCAATACATCGATGTANATGTTACTAAAATAAAAAAGAAATACTTTTCATGCAGTAGTCATTTATTAAAAAAAATATATGGCAATGTGTAACAATAAGACTTATAAAATGTTCTTTTGGAAAACTTTGCAAAAACAAAAGCTTATTTAAACGTTTTCCTTTCAGTCTGTTTCATTGCTGAGTGACGATTTGAGCTGCTTTAGAAAATAAACGCTCAGACGGTACTGACGTTCCCACCATGGTCAAGTATTTGTATGCAAATTTTATTAAGTTTAGGAAGTTGAATCTTCAGATCGTTCCATATTTCCAATGGGTTCTCATTAAGTCTTCCTACTTGACTACGCAAGTAAATAGACAGCTCTGCAGAAATAGTATCGTCAGACTTCGCCGTTTTCCAGCTCTTGTGTACCAATTTGTGGTGATTATCCCATAAAGAAAAGTTATCTTCTGGTTTGTCAGAATGATCTGAAGAATCAGATTCCACCGCGGCCTCATTTTGTATTGTAGTTTTCACAAATTCTTTGACTTTTGCCGCAGCTGAAGAGCAAGCAAGTGGGTAAAATGCATTTTTTTAAACCTCGGATCTAATATCGTGGCTATGGCGAGAGGAGTCACTCTCTCTATAACACCCATTCTCTTGTCAATTTCTTTAAGAACCAATGACTATAATTCTTTGACAAGAGATTCTACGAGTCTGAGTGTTTTAACTTTCAAAAGAAGGCAATGGATAAGTGGTATTACCTTGCTACTAGTGCAATACTTATCCCCTGACACTTCCTTAGTTGCAGCTTCGATCGGTCGCAGAACTTGTAAAACCGAAGAAAGAATTGAGAGTTCTGACGCAGTAAGCATCGGTGGTGCATTTTTATGCCGAATGATTATGTTATTAACGATAGTGCGAAGGTCCAAAAATCTTTAAATCATATAATATGTACTATTCCATCTGGTTGGAACCTCTTGTATCAATTTAGTTTCTTTCTGGGTTGCATTACGTAATTCTGTTACTGGCTATATTGCTCTGTTTGAACCATGTCACAATATCTTTGACTTTAGTTATCAAGTTTCGCAGCTCAGTACACTGTTGCATAGAATTTTGTGCCACCAAATTCAGTGTGTGCAAAACATGGTTTAGCCTGACCAGGAACATAAAAACCCTGGCATAGAGGCGCTTCAATAGCATTTGATAGTGCAACACTGAGTACAGTCGTACATGTGTTAAATTAATAGGCTAAATTTATGTATCAGGATTCAGGATTACGGGCTAATTTGATATTTTCATAAATTAACGAAAAATATTATTAAAGGTAACCTGGTTTAAATAAATTAAATGAAACCATCAATCGAGCTAGTAGGATTTATTTTATTATTCATCAATAATCAAATTCAGAACTTGAATATTCAACTGCAATGTCTGCTCATGAACCCTTCAAGCTCGGTACTTCTTTCCCAATTCCATAAAATTCAAAACTTAGAAAGTGACAAAAAACATTAAAATAAGTAGTTGAAACAGACTACAGCTAATTTTCATAGTGGACTGTACTATACGATAAACATGTCAGTCAATTTGACAACCTTTGTCGGAAACATTATTCAATGAAAATATTGTCCGAACCCTTAGTATTTCTCTTCGACAAATACATTAACACATCGTGAACCACTTTTCTTTCACGACTATAAAAATATTTTAGCAATTTAATTCACATAATCAATTGCAAACATTTAAAATAAAGTTTGTTTACACTTTGACAACAATAGACTGACATGCAAGGTGACATGTATAATCGGCGGAGATATTGCGTATAAAAATGTTCATCCCCAATTTTCCACCCTTGGGGGTTGTTTTTTTTATTATTAAATTTAAATGGGACCACCCTTGAGGTATTACCTATACGCTGAAAAAAGATTTGTTCAAATCGGTTCATAATTGGCGGAGTTATCGCGTAACAAACATAGAAAAAAAAAAAAAAAAAAAAAACATACGGGTCGAATTGAGAACCTCCTCCTTTTTTTGAAGTCGGTTGAAAAACTAGAACCACTGTATATAAAAAATATGCAGTGATCTTTCACTTAAAAACCGTCCATAGAACTTTACTAAGTAGGTACTTGTGAAAAATACATTTTAATTAATGCTTATATACGATACATACCAACAATCAATCCACTTTCACAAGCTAAGTTTCTGGCTAAGTTATAATCCACAGATCACAGAAACTAAAGGGAGATGAGCCAAGGGGGCGGGGCCGGTGGCGCAGTAATTATGCCCAAAAACAGAACATAGGTATTTCTCGTGTATGAAATAATGACAGCAGCGACGTCATAATGTTAATAGTTTACATTGCTTGCGTAGTAGTACTAAAGATTATTCGAACGTTGAGTACTGATATCGCATTGGATAATGAGCACATTATTTTGAATACTTTGTGTGTGTGAATTTCTTATGCGACACTGAGTTTCGAACTCAGCGCATTATTTGGCATCTCTCTAGATCTCTATGTTATAATCTATGTTTGCTTAGTAATCTAACCACAATTGACTAATCATCATGATATACATGTACCTAAAAAAATCATTTATTTTCTGTAAGTAGCATTTGAAAGATCGGTTTTACACTTCTAAATACATGTTTGCATGAAATCTTATTTGTACTTTCAATTATTAAACGAAAGATATATCAATGCTACATTGTCTGCGAAAATGAACTTAGGTAATAATATTACTGCGCTATACGGGTGTTTTCTATGTATAACTAGCTGACCCGGCGAACTTTGTTCCGCCTTAATGGCAATAAATAAACAGACTTTTTTTTTAATTTCGAACGGGATAAAAAGTATCCTATGTCCTTCTCCTGGCTCTAAACTACCTCCCTGACAATTTTCAGCTAAATCGGTTCAGCCGTTCTTGAGTTATAAGCGAAGTAACTAACACGACTTTCGTGGTGGCCAAGCTACTGGACCCCTCGTCCAATCCACTGTTCACCAAACGTATTATTCGCGCACTTGACGTCCTTATTGTGGGGGAGCACCATCTTGCTGGTATTAGAGCATTTGGTGTAACGCTAAGGGTACGTCATCAAGCATTTCGTCTAAGACGTCTTGCAGACACTCCAAGCACCATTTTGATTAAATTATTCGTTATTGAATACACTTCAGTCATTTTTGTATTATTTATAACGTGATTTGTGTTTGATGGATTTCTCAGTTTTTTACAAGTGTCAAAAAGACATTTTAAAGACAATAGATTGCAATAGATATTTAAAAATACAATAAAAAGTAAAAAAGTCTCCATCGCCATCGCCAACAAGTGATGTGCATGCGTTACGATAATTAGTGGTGTGTTTAACACATTGTCGATAAAATAAAATACTCAAGATTAAAAAAAAAATTGTTCGGGCATTATTTTTTTACGGATTTGTGTTCAGTATCAGTAATATAGTAACCTCTGTAAATATGGCAAGAATGCAAAGTAACACCCTGTATATAGATATGTATGTATTTACAAAAAAAAAGTATTTAAGTATGTTTAATATCCGTTGTCTAGTACCCATAGTGCAAGCTTTGCTTAGTTTGGGGCTAGCGGCGCAATGTAGTAAAATGTCCAAGGATATTTATTTATTTATTTATACCTTCACTGTCTTGTTGCAAACGTAATTATGTCTGACAGCCAGTTTAATTTGCAATAATATTGTAGCAGAGCACAAGAAAAATCCACGCTGGTATTACGCTGTCCACAGCAATGTTTTCTATTAAAACTTTAATGTAGTTTTACTTCACAGTTTCAGGATTGCAGGTTGGAAACGTCAGACCTATGTCCATATGACAGGTTTAAATGCTCGTGAACATTTGTTACCAACGGAATGCCTGTTGTTACCTGCAATGGACCTGGCGATGCTCTGTTAACGATGGCGTCCACAGAACAATAGCTTTAGTTTAGAGTAACTGGGTTTAGTTTAGAGTCAGACAAATGTTGTGTTGTTGCCATTTTGGTTCAATTACATAGAAATTGTTTGTTAACTCTACCATTGTGTCTTTGTATGAAATAAATAAATATTTTTCTTTCTTTCTTTCTACACCATAAGTAGCGTATCTGCTTTAAACAGCCACCAAACAAGTTGACACTAAAAAATTAGCTTGTGCCTATGGCTTTTCTTCCAGATATTATCATGAACGTCAACACGGACATTGACACGGTCAAACGCAAGTCAATCAATAGTATAGTCTCGTAGATAAATTTGTATCATTTGTGTTCTCAAAGTAAAATTATGTTCATTCCACGTGTGTATGTATAACACACGTCGTAAAAAGATGGCGTGAAAAGTTGACACGGTAAAGTGTAATAAAAATTAAGAGTGACGCATATTTCATATCCCACTTCATACGGCGCTTTTTATTACTGAATATTACTTTTACTCTATTTTTCTTCGGCAAACATCCAATTTATTTCCAGCCAAACAGAACGTACCAAGAAAACATTTTAAATTAACGGGAAATATTTTCCAACTGCTTTTCCGAGGCTCGAGTTTCACAAACAATTTTTATCATGTACGTATGAACTCGCTCAAGTATAAAAAATAAAATTCCTATATTGAATTCACGCTGCACAGGAATCCGCGTAATTTGAAACCATTCGATAGGTTGAAACCCGAAACCATTGTGAATTGTATTTAAAATGGCTTATT